TTTAGAAAGCCGACGTTGGTTTATTCAGCGCTGGGTGCATGGGGGATCTCTCCTCCTAACACGCACACCTAGCCTTTAATCCCTTACACGTTTATACCCTTAGCTTACAAAATCATTACAAAATTACATTTACATCACATAGTTACCTTATTGTGATGGGTAAAAAGTTTTCTCGCTTTGATTTAAAGCTATATGCTTAGAGAAATTCAGAGAGCATGCCCAGTGAGGGGTGCTCATACCTCGGAGGCGGGTAGCTTTTCGAATGGAGGTGTGTTTTGGTATTATAATTAGATTATAACAAACAAAGTTCAGTCAAAGGACATGATTTTGACAGAAAATGAAATATTACTTGTACCCACTGCCAGCTACGTACTTTATCTATTCTATTGTCCATGTCAGGCTGGGGCTATACAATGGACCTAATTGGCAGCCACAAATTGGTTAGCAACATCAAACGAAACACGGTCGCTCAACCATCGCCACACCGTTCTGCTCAGAATGTTCCCTTCCCATCACCATGATTACCCACTCGGTTACACAAGGAGAGGGTTACTGCCTGCTCTGCAGAGGGTACACATCCCTCCCGTTCTCGCAGAGCATCTCCTTCTCATCCAGGAGACCCAGTTTCTCCAGCAAGGAACGTTACCAGCAGGCATCTCGTTTATTTAAGAGCAAAGTAGCACACGTAAAGCAAGCTGCAAAGATGCAGAGGAAAGTTTCCTGGTCTTCAATGGGCCACCAATGTGGCCGTGCTTTTCCCAGCAGGAGGAAAAGCAGCTGCTCTAATTCAAGGGGAGGAAAGCAAGCGTGCACGCGCAGACAGTGCTCGAGTCCACGGCTCTTCGTGCCTCCCCAAGTCGAAGCCATGCAAGGGGACATCCTGGGGTGCAAGCGTGGAGCCAGGGGTAGATGGCGCTGGGGTGCTTCTCCATGAACGGCTCCATAAAGCATCTCCTGAACTGGCTCCAGGGTAAAGAGAGACATTCAAAGGACACTAAAAGAGGCAGGAGAAGGGCGAAAAGCGCTGCTGATCTCATCTGTCAAGAGGACCAAGAGGAACGGACGGTCAGTCCCGCGATGCAGTATTTGGCCTGCGCCACAAAGGGCTGCAGCTCACAGCCCCTGGAAAACCGGGGCAATTCACCCTGTTTCCGTTTTATTGCTGGGGAGGTTTGGAGGAGCATCCCTAATTACTTTAATCCCCCCTTTTTTGTAAATTAGACCATTTCTGTGTCCTCAAGACGAGGCTCACCAGGACCGGTTCCAGTGGTGCTGGGAGGAGAAGCCGACGGCACTGGGCTGTGCTGCGTGCTGGCGCCCGCAGAGCTGGCGGGACGAGGACCAGGCGATCCTGAGCAGGCAGCCGCTGGAGGGAGGCAGTGGAGCAGGAAAAGCTGGCAAAAAACCCCCTTGGACATGGCTGGAGATGGGAAACAGCTTCTCCAGAGCAAACTGGGTGGGAGAGGCACATCCACCCGCCCTGCACCAGGACCTCGCCTGGCCCCCTGTAACTCCTCCTGCTTACAACCCAGTTGCGCTCAGGACCTGCATTCATCACGTAGGCCGGTTTTTTGCGCTTCTGCTGGAAAAATCCTATGTCTGTTGTCTTTGTGCTATGCAAACGGAAACAGGGCGAGGTGAGGGAATTCCTACAGCAACAGTCCTGGACCAAATCCCACGCCCTTGGCTCCTCTCGTCTAGATGTCACAGCCCCAAATCCCATCCTGACGCAGGTGGGATCCCCCAGGCTGCCCCAGCCCCTGGCTCGGGGAAGGAACAACAGGGAGGATGAGGCTGCCAGCGAGGGAAGAGGGGTGTGACTTACAGCCACCAAGAAGGGGACGGAGCAGATGCTGCAATGCCGCGAAACGCTCCCCGAGGCAGCGTTGCAGAAGGGATGCTTTCAGAGGGCGATGGATGATACAATCCCTCAAAACAAACCCAAAACCACCTGACCGATGCTTCAAAACCATCACACAAAGAGATCTCACAAGAAAAAGCACGTGGTAGGAGACAAAGGAGCAAGTCCACAAGGGGAAGGATGGAAGACAGGCAACGGCCGGATCCAGTAAGGTCTCGGGGGTCTGGCCTGAGGCAGCAGGTGTGCAAAAGCCCCGTTCCAGCACACACACTGCTGCACAGCTCACCCTGTGCCACAGATCAGTGTGAGTTTTAGTCCTTTCTGCTCTCAGCAGTTTGAGATGTGAGCGTGCAGGTCATCCTGCACTCCCCACGGGCTGTACCTGGTGCTGTGTGTCCAACCCGGGTTGTTCGGAGAGAGGGTGGCGTGAGCTGCCTGGAGCAAGGAGCTCAGAGGCACACGGGAACAGGTCAGCTACTGAGAGAAAAATCAAAGCTTCACTGGAAATGAAGTTACAGTGACTTTGCTCTGCTGCAGGGCACGTTTAAAGCGTCTGCTGGAGACCCTATAGAATCACCCTGTCACAGAGCTGGCTCAACAGCACATCAGGACCTGAACCACGTCTGCTGAGTTCAGTTAATTCTCCTTCAGTTTGTTCTTTCAGCCCCCTTCCCACCATCCCAGCTGCAAGGGAGGGAGGTGCAGAGCTCTTCTCCCTGGGACCCAGGGACAGGACACGTGGGAATGGCTCAAAGCTGCACCAGGGACGTTCAGACTGGATGTGAGGAAAGATTTCTCTCCTGAGCAGGTAGTCAAACCCTGGAACAGGCTGCCTGAGAGGCGGTGGGTGCCCCAAGCCTGTCAGGGTTTAGGAGGCATTTGGACAGTGCCCTTAACAACGTGCTTTAAGTTTTGTCAGCCCTGAAGTGGTTGGACAGCTGGACCAGATGATCACTGTAGGTCCACTATTCTATTCCAGGCACAGGCTCAACACGCTCACCCCCCGGGACAGGGCCCACCCTCCCAGGAACAGGGCGGCTGGACATAAGGGCTAGGGGTGGAAGGAGGGGAGGGCAGGCAAGGCGGCTGGAGGCTGTAATGGAGAAAGGGAAAGGGGCTAAAAGGATAAATACTCCTCAAAACCAGCCCGACAGGAGCATATTCCCACCCAGCTGATGCTCCACTGCCAAACTGTCACCCTTTGAGGGCCTCTCACGCAGCAAGAGCGAGTAACACTAACAAGATTATACAGCCTTAACCATCATTAACTGAACTCAGCACTATCTGAAAAGTGCTTCCCCTGCTTGTTTAAATTCCAGTTAAGTGAATCATTGTAAAACAAAAGCTTCTGCTGCTGCCTCCTCCCTCTCTTATCTTATTTACTCCTGAAAGGAAAGCAGAGTTCAGGTTAAGGGCTGCCTTTATCAGGGACCTTTCACATGGAGATGTGCAGAGATCTGATTTTCTGCTACCAGTGAGGCTGGAAAAAGCAATAAACCCCCCAAAAAACCCCCATTTCTTTAGAACACAAGATGGGAGCACTAACAGGTTGGTTGGACAGGAGGTCTGTCTCAAGATTCCTGTCTCCTTGGGAGTTGTTCTTGCTCATGACAGAGGCAGGGATGTGGGAGGAGGCTGAGGTCTGGGAAAGCCGTGCTCTCACCACAGGGCAGCCGTCACTATACATACCCGCTCTCGGAGGTCTCCGTTGCCGCCAGTCCCGCACGGTCCCCAGTAAGTACCGAGTAGTACACAGCTCACACTGTAGCGCCTGCCCCTTGATCCACACTTTGCACACCTCAAGGACACCCTCCTTTCTCTCCCTGCATGCCACCTTCTCCTTAACCAGGAGAAAGCTTCTTTCTGAAACCTAGACCAAATAGAAAAGTTAATCTAGGCAGCTTGATTCTGTTCTTTCCAGTGGGCATCAGGTATCTGAGTCGTATTTTCAGCAGAACAATTTATAGAGAACTCCAAGATGCAACCCAACATTTAAACAGTTCCAGAAATCACTGAGAGGCTGAGTAAAAGGACAGACGTGCTTAGAATGCCACTAATACCAGTCTTAAACGCTTTACTATCGGTCACTTTTATTTCAAGAACAGAACAGCCTTTCGTCCCAGCTCCCTCCGAAAGTTTAGAGCGTAACTCAGGTAGCACAACAACAAACAGTCACATCCCACAGAGCAAGAGCTCCCAACAAAGCAATCCCCGTTGAGACACTGGCTTTGGATTTTCCTCCTCTCCCTCCCTGGGTGAGAAGCCAGCCTGGCACAGAACGTGAACAGCTCCCTTATCCTGCACCTGCACAGGTGCTTCACTAGCAGAAATTATGCAAATAAATAGTCAGTATCTCATGGAGCGGGAGCAGATGGTGACCACAGATCATCTAGAAATTAATTTATTGCTATCTTCTTACTTACTGGACGCTGCAGGTAGCTCACTTGGTAACCACCGAGAGGCGACAGTCTCAGATTGCTCTTGTGTTACCAGCTCACATTGGACAGAGAGGTGTGGGAGGACAACTCAGATCTTGTTTACTCTGCTGCCTGCCTTAAGGGCAGGGGTTTGCTCAGGGGGACTGAATCTTTGTCATTTTGATGAAAATAGGTGGGGGCAGGGGATGTCATGGGCTGGGCTCCTGAAACACTCACAAATTCATCATGCCTGCTAGACTTCATCAAGGCATTCAGGTGCGCTGCTAAGAGTACATACTGCTAAGTGTACTCACTGCTCCTGACCTGCAACGGGAGTTGCTAAGCCACCTTCCCGTGGTAAGGAACTGGCAGGTTCCAATTTCAGAGAGCAGGAGCCTAGTGCCACCTGAGCGCTGAGCTGATTCATCAGGGAAAATCAGGGCAAATTAGAGCTGTACCATGGGCATGGGGAAGTACCGGCCCTGCCGTCAGCATGAGGTCAACCTGACACTTGATTCTACTTCCCTCTGCTGGTGGGACATGCTGTGACGGCCAGCGTCCCAGGATCAAGCCAAGCCAGCTAAAACATGAAGTCTAACACGTACGAGACCGCTTGTCACCAAAGATTATCAGGTAGCCCCAGGTTGATTACAAGTGATGAGCTCACAGCACTGTCAGTTGCCAGTGTCCCTCCCCACAAGGGGTATTGGCCAGAGAGCATGAGTTTGAGAGGATGAGGAGGGCTGCAGGAAGAACCTCAGACTGATGGAAAAGCAGAGGAGTCCTTTGTGGGACATCCAGAGACATCTTTGTTAGGCATCATGCAGCTGGTTCTCTTTCAGGAGAATCTTCTCCCCAGGCTTGAAGGCAGGCATCCCCAGGTAAGGGCAGCTGGCACAGCGGAACGCATCTCCCAGGTAGCACTGGCAAGAGAAAGAAAAGCAATCACGCACAACCTTCATTTCTCTCCCCCCCGTAATACGTTTCTTCCAGCTTAAGAGATGACACGCTCCTCAGCGTGTGTCAGCACAGAAACCCCTGTCAACACAGGTCTGGTTAGCGTGGTTAGCAGAGCTGGCAGGGCACTGCACTCATGTGGCAGCAATGAGTTTCCTCCCCACCTTGTGCTCGGGCACAGCTGCACGGTGGGCTCGGGCAGCCCCCTAACCACCACCAGGCCCCCCGCACTCCCAGGAGGTGATCTTCCCCGAGCAGATCACTAGTTAGTGCACGGGCAGGGAGGTAAAGGTCTGCTGCTCGCTCTGGCTCCTACGAGGGCAGCACTTGCGCTGGAACAGGCAGCACGCGCTGGTACGGAGCACGCAGGTGCAGGGCAACAGGCTGAAGGTCTGCAGAAGCTGCACAAGCAGTAAGCCAGCTCAGGGAGCAGTCACTAGAGAACACGGTTCTTCGACACAAATCACGTAATGCAAAGCAGAGTGTAGAAACAAAAATGACTATTTACATTTCCACAGGCAGATTTGGGCTGTGAGCTCTTCTTCTGTTCCAGCTCTTCAGCCAGGCCACATGTGCTGCAGAAAAATAAAGAAGTCACTTGCACCTTTCTGCTTGTGAGTCACCAACACTTGCTCCAGCCCTACTCACACGCAACAGCCCTTGCTCTGTCGCACAACACAGCTGACTTCAGGGCTCTCACACTCTTCACTTTGTTCTTCAACACCAGTTTGTACAATAAGTGTTGAAACACACTCCTCAAGTTTAAACTGAGTGGGAAATGAAACCACAGCACTTGCTATGTGTGCTATTTCTCCTTGAAATCTGAGAAACCAGGATTTCAGTCAAGGCTACGCAAACAGTGTCACCACCTTCAAGAACACTGTTCATCATATCAGTGTTGGTAATTTGTAGCACTTTTGGTGTGGCTAGTCAATTCTCACTGTATTTGGATTTACATTCAAATAGTTGAGATAAGAAAGGATGTGAACCAAGAGAATTACGCTCTGAGGAATAGCAAAGTGCCGACAATCTTTTAAAAATCTATCCAACTCTAAGGGTTTATTTAGTATTACAGTTAAAAGGTCCACCGATATGCTAATCCCAGCACTGACCAGTTCTTGCAGGCTTTCTTTTTGCCCATTTCTTTGCAGGATGGGGCTCTGAGGGACGATGGATCTGGCTTTTTCAAATCCTCTGAATCCAACAGCTCATCAGAGTCCAGAAGATCCTGAAAACATACCATGGAGGACAACATGCAGGAAAACTGATTTGGCAGTAGGGAATGACATGGCTGTTGCATTCAAAGAAACAGTGCCATCTGGAGCACCAGCACTAAAGTGCTGCCCCTGTGCCCTCATCCACATCTCCACTGCCCTCACCACACCTCTGGGCTCTCAAGATCTCACATTGTAGATGAGATATTTTGCCCTGGGGATGCTTTTCTACCTCTTAAGTTGTAAAGCTTCCCAAGAGGCATAACTGAAGCTATTTAGAGGACGAAAGAAGAGGAGAAGGAACAGCAGCAAAGCCTCACAAACAAAACCACATACCATCTCTTCATCGTTCATATCATTGGCAGAGAGCGTCCACAGCTTGGCAGCGGCTGGGTCCACAGAGGGTTTTCCTGGAGCCAAAACAAAGGAAGAAATAGTAGTTACTCCAGCCTTTGCCCCATCTTCTCCCAAAAAAGAGTTCTAACAACTCTGGAAAGCCCCACTTCACAGGTTTTCACTGCAGTACTCCCTGCCCCAGAGCTGTCTCCCTATTCCAAGGGATGCTTGTCACCCAAGACGCAGGCAATCCAGGTTTTGGCGTGCACCACTCCTTACCTGAAGGACCAGGTTTCTTGGCAAAGGCAAGTTTGAGCTGACTTGAGGATCCCACTTCAAAATTGGGTTTCCTGCCTTCTATCTGAACAATGAGAAGGTCATGGCCTTGGTAACCTAAATGCTCTCGGACCGACTGGGCCTCCTCTGGGGTCAACGCTTCCTTTTGCAGCTGCAAGGTAAGATTTTAGGTTAACCTCACGTAGAACCCCTTACTTCACCACCCAGTCCAGTCTTCCAGTGAACACAGACAATCGGTATTTTCAATCCTAAAGAAAAACACTATCTTTGCAGCAACTAAACTTTGTGGTAGGCAGTGTCCATACACACTTCCAGTAAACCAGGGTAGCTAAATAATCTTGTCACCCAGCAAGTCCCCAGGAATCGCCACCTACATGTCACGGTAACTGCACAAGGGAGTTTCTGGAAGCGGTTATTACATACGTACCTCCTTCACTTCCACCAACCCAGAGAGAGTCAGAGCTGTAGGGAGTTTGGCTGCTGTCTTGATTCTGCTGTTGTTTCCTGGAAGACACAAAAGCAGGAAAGTAGGAAGAGGGAAGAACAAGGAGAGGTCGCTGAGAAACCTGGCAGAGCAAGAGCTTTAGAAGGAAGTACTCAAAATGCTTTCAAATTGGGCCCTTTCCAGTTGACAGCAGGAACAAACCAGAAAGAGCTTGTTCATTAAAAGAACAGCCTGGGGTCACAAAGCTGTTCTAGCTCCAGATCTGTTCTATATGTGCCAAAACCTTCCTCAACCCAATTAACACCCATCAAAAAAAGGCAAAAAACCCCACCCCAAAACCCAAACAACGAAATCTCCCGAAACATTTTCACATATTAAAGTGAACAACTCATGAAATTTTCAAAACATGGACTCCTAAATGACCATTACATTCAGAAATGTAACGCTCAAGAGCCTTGTTCTCATAGGCAAAAGCTATTACTGTCACTGTTTAATCAAAAACTCACTACAGGCTTATTCACCTGGGCACAGGATTGTGCTGAACAGAATCTGTTCTCCCTCTCTCTAGTCCCACTTGCACTTTATTCCAAGTCCACCAAATTCCAGGAAAAAAAGAAACCTCATCTTGTCCAGACTTTGCATGTTCTTTGTTCTGTCTCAGAAGCGTTCCCCCCTGCTCCTAAGGTACCACTTGGACCACAGAGCCACTGCCAGCTTCAAATCTTCCCCATCTGAAGGCGTTTCTGCTGCCGATTACACCACCATAAATTGTGCCAACAGAAACATCGTCAGCAGAGATGCTTTGGTTCTTATCAGGTGGCATATTATTTCCTGCTTCCATCCCGAACCAGCTCCCTATGCCAGCAAGGTTTGAATGCGGGTCAAGCATAAGACAGAGAAATAGTCTTGTGTTTGCCTCCCTGTGCGTTCCTCTGGCTGTCCCATGGCAGGTGGCTTTACTCTTAAAACTTAGACCAAATACTTCTACCTTTTCTGGATAACTATTTATCAGCTGGCTTCTACGACAGCCTCTCCTGGCATTTGTCACCTGTTTTTAAAATCACTTCAGAAGCTCCTCAGAAACACAACATCTGCACCTATTTAACATTACACACCCTAGGAGAAGGGCAGTGTCCACTGAGCTTTTCAGCATAATTTAGGAACAAGCCTATCCAGCACTTTTGATAGAAGGAGAGCAACTGCAAACATCTCTGACAGCTATCAGCTTAAACACAGGACAGAAACCTCACTATGCAGGTTAGTGTGTCAGGAGAATTAAAGTCTCTGAACGTCAGTCAGTGCTCCTGTCCTTTCCATTTCAGCCTAATCCTTGCAAGAATTGCTGTGCTGCCACGAAAGCAAGGCTGATGCAGATTCTCTCACCTGATTCTGTAACCACTGGTTCTTTCAGGAGGACACGGCCCCCCGGCTTAAGTATGCGAGCTATTTCTGCCAGTACCTCCGCGCTGTGCTGTGCGGTACTGCCTGGTACCACGCCAGAGAGAATTACATCAAAACTGGACTCCCTGTGAGCCGCTGAAAAGAAAGAGAGAGGAAGATGGTACAACTTTACACATATACATACACAGCTTTGCTTAATACATCAGTTTTGCCTCCCTCCTCATCTCTCACGCTTGTGTACAACAGCCATAACTAATTAAAAACACCAGTCCCAGGAAGCATGACCAGGGTATATCACTTTCTTTGCTGTACCGCCAGCGGCACGAGTTAGCAGTAGGTGCTACTGTTGTTCTGAATTCTGACTTACAAACCAGGGGAAATGTCAGCTCGCACCACAGAAGCGCCCACTCCCTTTAAACAAAACAGTGGAAAAATTAAGCTCATTCTTACATTGAGATAGCTGGTTAATGTTTTCCACAGAGACACGATTATCAGCTCCTACCAGCACCTGAATTTTATCCACCAAATCCTTCAGAGCTTCAACTGGCGAGGAGCTATCCCAGATGATGGCCACGCGCTGGCCTGGTGCGACTCCGTACTCCCCCATTTCCGCAGCAGCAGCAAACCTGACAGCAGCAGAGAGAGGAATGGGCAGGGGGGAGAGAGAGAGGATGCATAAGTGTCAGGCACAGCATGAACCTCTGTGGACTGTGACTTGATCAGAGAGCATTGACTTGTTTTAATAAATGGGGATTATTTTCTGGAGACAGGCAGTACGGAGTTCCCACAAGCTGAGTGCTAACATGACGTTAAGAAATAGCTACACTTATGGGCATCATTCAGTTTCTCTCCAGTTCAGAGACTAGTTTTGCAGGGAGACTCCAAGCCATGCTTAAAACAACCAAAAAACAAAACATCCAACAAAAAACCTTACCTGCTTTCCTTAAAGACTTGAATAGAGACGTACACAGGATTTCTGGATTTCCAGGCTAGTGACAACTATTTGACACTAAACACTGCCTTGTCTCTCCTATTCAGGACATGACCTAGCAGAGTTTGCTTCCGCAGCACATGAGAAGGAAAAAAAGAAGTAACTTTC